CGGATAATAAAGAGGAAGGGAGGGGAAGGAGTGAGGGCTTGGCACGGGTACTATCCGGACGCGCATATCTCCCTCCCCGTCCCCGTCCCCGTCTCCGAAGCCGCGGCCAGGCGGCTGAGGGTTGTGGCGGCGGGGCTGGTGGCGATGGGGTTTGGCATTCGGTATGGAGGAAATGGCCCCATGATAAGGGAGCCGTCAATCGTGGCTGCCAACCTGGCGACCCTCCCCCCCTCCTTATATCCCCCCTCCCCTTCCCTTTCCCCCAACACACAAGCGCACACACAAGCACACGCACACACACAAGCACACGCACACACACAAGCACACGCACACACAAAAGCACAAGCACACAACTATTTCCTTATGGGGACTCTTCTCAGATTGTAAAAACCTTCACCTCGGCCGTCCTCTGCACTTTCGCCAATGTGAGCTCATGTTGCTCCACCAGCTTGCCCCTCTCCACCACCAGCGCCACCAGGTTGTCAACACACCGACACAGCTCCATCTCAGCCACCTGCGAGGAAGAGACGAGACGAGACGCACGGGTGAAGGGCGGCAGGGTCGCGTGAGTGAGGCCGTAGGGCGTAGGGCGGCACAGAGGGACAGAGGGATCCGTACTGAGGGATCCCTGCGACGAGGGAAGTTCGGGGGAAACCAAAGGGGGGGATGAGGGGAAAGACGAACCACGTGAACTAGTGAAGCTGCTGCCCCAGGGCAAGAGTGTCAGGGCAAGAGGGGGGGGAGGGGAAAGAAGAGGGGAAAGGAGGGAGAGGGTGGTGGGGATCACAGCCGGATCACAGCCCTCGCCTCGCCGATGCAAACCCCAACCTGCCCCTCCAACCCCCGCACCTCCACGCCCTCCCCTGCCGCCTTGGTCAAGTAGTCCTTCAAGGCGGCTGCTGACGTGTCCGGCGGCAGCCCCTCCACCCGCACCGAGTAGTCCTTGAGGGTGGCGGCGGAGGCGTCACTGGCGTGTGCGGTGCGTCGTACGCGATAGATCATGAACATGGCGAACCCGAAGAACGCCACCACCCTGCGCGCGCGCGCGTGTATGTGTGTGTATGTGAGTGTATATGTGTGTGTATGTGAGTGTGTATGTGTGTATGTGTGTGTATGAGTGTGTGTGTATGTGTGTGTATGTGTGTATGTGTATGTGCCAGGAGCAGGGAAGGGAAGGGAAGGGCGCCGGGGTGCAGCGTGGCTGGGGAAGCAAGGGTTCCGGGAGGGAACAGAAATCCGAAGAACTTAAGGTAAGGTAGGTTAGGCAGACAGGCAGGCAGGTCATAAGGCAGGTGGGTGGGTGTGGGTAGGTGGGTTGCTTCCCTTTCCCCCTCTCCCTCCTCTCGCGGCTTCACTCGCTAGTGGTTCGTCTTTCCCCCCTTCCCTCCCTTTTCCCCTGCCCCGCTCTCACCCGACGAGGTCCAATGCCGACATGGCCACCAGCAGTGACCTCTTGTTCATTCCGGCCACCTTGGCGGCTGGCTGGTACCAGGTGGAGGCGAACAGCGCAGTCACGGAGCCCTCCTGGGATACACCTGGAGGGGCGGGGGAGGGGCGGGGGAAGGGGGGAGGGGGGAGGGGAGAGGGGGGAGGGCAGGGGAGGAGGGGAGAGGGGGGAGGGGAGGGGAGAGGGGGGGAAGGTTGAAGAATGTGAATGCTGTTGTGAAAGTGTAAATGGAGTGGGGCGAGTCGTGACGTACGAGGGGAGTTCCCGACGAATACAAGACAGACACACATACACATACACCAATGCCCCCGGGAGATCCCGGTATCGAGACCTGTGAAGGTCGATGCGGTGGAAGGTGAAGTGCATCTAATCGATGGACGGTGGTGGTGACCTGGGATAAAGTTTACCACTTGCGAGCTGTCCAGGAATAGAGTCGGGCACTGCGGCGGCTTCACAACCGTTTTGCGTTGTACGCCGCCGCCCTCCTCCAAAACTCACTTCTCGACGAGATTCCCGAGGTGGTGAGGTTGAGTGCGCTGCCAGCTCCATTATGCGTCAGCAGCCCAAAATTGCCCAACATGGTTCGCTCCAGGTCAGCCGTGTCGTACCAACCGCCGAGAGCGTTAAAAATCACCAGCACCGCCCCGGGAACAAACGCCAGGACCACGAACAGCACCGCGATGTGTTGGAGCAACAGGAAGTACATGTGAACTCCTTCCCCGAATTCTTTGAGTTCCTTGATGTGGCACTTGACCTCCAGGACGCCGTGATGCGTGTGGGTTTTGAAGTAGGCATCCCTGGAGAGAATGCAAATTTTATCAGTATGGCCCATTACGTTGCGCAGCCTGTCGTGCAGTCGCTGATTGTGGAGGCGGTGAACGTGTCCGACATTCCAACTGTTAGATTGGATACCCGGTGCCATCAAATGCTTACCGCGCCGCAGCTTCGTTAGGGGCCTCCCAGCGTCCATAAGTCGCTAATACAACCTCGGAAGGCCGTTTTTTAAAGCGGAGCTTGCCGAGGCACCCAGGTTCGTCCGACATTCGACCTTGCCAGTCAAGGACTTAGGGATAACATATGTTACCTACATACTTTATATACAGAGTTCATATTATATACCCCCTTGCCTCCAGAGGTGTGTTTAAAGGTCGTGACCGAGGAAGCTAGAAGGCTTCACATGGAGAAGGTAAAGCCAGCACGGACGGACAAACATGGGGACAAAGGGCAGATGATAGCGTTGCGATATTACGTTCAGGCTACTTAGTAAGTCGCTCCAAAATTCTGTAGGATACAGGTTGCAAGCAGGTTCATAGCGTTTCCGTATTCTTCGGACGAGCATAGGTCAAAGACATAGCTGCATGCAACACCGATGATACGAAAGCGTTTGCTACCACTATACCTTTTTGTTTCTTGTAAACGGAGACCGAATTAATGTCTCGATGCACAGCAAACTTGCATCAACCTGCTTGCGCACCGTGTTGCAGCCAGACAACGCCGTTGCGCACACTTTTACATAGCCCACGATGGTCGCGATCAGCGGGACGGCGAACGTATGCTGTTTGGGCACGAGCCACTGGCGATGTTGCGGCGCAAGGCAACAAAGATGTAAAAACAAAGACACCAATACAACAGCAAATACTCAACGGGATCCTTAGCGTGTCGAACGTGCCTTACAGGTAACTAAATCTTAGCCCACTTTCTGGCCCGTCGTTATCCATCGCCCCCACACATCGCTGCGCTTTACCCGTCCATTCCCCGTCCATCTACCTACAGCTCGTTCGTGCCATCCCCCGTAACGTTCCTCCATACCGTGGATGCGCGCATCAAACAGGTGCGTGTTGGGCGGAACGGCATCGCAAGGATACGGCGTTTGCAAGCCGTATAAAAGGCAACCGTACAAAAGTTTCCCAGAAATGCACACCCGTTCACTTCGCACGTGCGCTAGCCCTTGTCCACGGCAGGCAGCCTTCCCCCCGTTCGTGAAGTCCGTTGGCTGCGGAGCCCATTATGGAACTTTATAACTCCGTAACTCCCATCCAGGCCACGTCACGACGCTGCCCTGTTCCGAACCTAAGGAACGGCTCCAACCTACCAAATCAGGACGGCTCCAACCTACGGCTCCAACCTACTGAACTCCGTTCCAAACACCAACCTCCCTTATGTGCATCCCTCTGCACCACGCTGTAATTTTCTCCCCTCCTTCTCATCGCGGCAGATCTGGCTGGTAGCCATGTACCTGCTCATCGCCCGTGCCTCCCCGGCCGTCCGGCTCGCCATCGCCGGCACCGTGGCTGCCATCACGGCAGCCAACTTCCCGCCGAGGCTATGGCAGTCGCAGCTGCGGCGACTGGGCCTGCTGTGCGCCTTCCTCTTCCTCACCACGCTGCTGCTGGCGGACGGAATGCCGGCGGTGTTGCAGGTGAGCACGCCTCCTCGTGTGGAGGAAGTGGAATACATCGTGGAAGTGGACATGTCTCGCCTTTTAGTCGCGAGTCGTCAGCACCAGAAGCAAGCAGCACCAGAAGCAAGCAGCACCAGAAGCACCGCGGGTGAAAAAGGCTGCCATGGCCACGGCGATGGTAATGCCGTTCACGGCATATTACCATCCGTTAACGTGCTCATCTGAGTGGGGTTCGTGTGCGTCCTTACATGAAGGTAAAGGGCAACGACGCGACGACGCGACGACCAGTTGGGAAAAAAAGTCGGGTTCCGGGTTTTGGGAAGTGAGGCGAACCATTTCCCCCTTCCTCCCCAAAACACACACATACATACATACATACAGGCAGGTGGCTGGCAGAAGTTAAGGCCTGACGTCTGCTCCCGGAAGTTCCGGGTTCAAATTCGCCTGCCGACCTCGGTGTGTGAGAGGGGTGTTGAATTGGGAGGTGGAACCCCATCTTGTGGACGGAGTTGGACGTGATTATAGCAATTTGCGAGCTGACTAGGAACAAAGTTGTGGCGCCATTGATCCGCTAGATTTGGTTGGATGCTGGTGGTGAGCAGTTGCTGAACCCAAAGAATGCATTCTGAAGTCGGATGGGGTGACGGATTAGGGTGCCCCTCTAGCAAGGGAGAGCAGGGACTGCCTCGGGAAAGGGGGCCGCTGGTGAAGCTATACCACCCTGTAACAGCATACATACACACATACATACATACATACATACATACATACATACATACATACATACATACATATGTATACACACCCTCGTTCACACCCTCGTTCACTTCATCCTTGTTCCCCCTTGAAACATCCCCCATCAGGTGTTTTCTTGCCCCGTCCTGAAACCCAAATCCCCAACATCCTAACATTCTACCTGAATCTCACCCCAAACCCGGTGACCCGTGTGTCTGTTCTGATCCCCTAGAACCCCCCGAACCCCCCGAACTTTCATCCCCCCCCCCAATTGTTCCTCTTCACTACCCCTTCGCAGACCCGCGCCCCGCCTGTGTCCCTGGAGGGTCTTCCCGCCATCCCGGACACCGGCTACCAGTACGTGCTGCTGCACGTGGGGCCCATCACCGTCACCCACCGCTCCTTCAACCTCGCGATCACCGCCTCGTCACTCACGTTCTCTGCGCTGCAGACCGCCAGCCTGTGCCTGGTCACCACACCGGGGGAGGAAATGGCCGTAGGTGCGTCTGCGTGTGTATCTCTCTGTGTGTGTGGTGATGGCGCGCTGGGAAAACCGACGTACTCAGCACTCGGGCATTGCCTCACCTATGACCACCTCTACCCGCCCCTACCCCTCCAACCCCCCACCTCCCACACTCCTACTGCTGCTGCCTCCTCCTCCCCCACAGCCACTGCCCGGTTTCCCCCCCACGCAATACACGTCACTTATTAAAATATGAAAAGTGTGTGGCGTTCGGCCCTAACGGCTCCCAACGCTAATTCTGTGAAGTAGTTTATTCATTTAACATAACTAGGGTTGGCCGGAAGTTTAGATTTAGAAATTAATTTAGATGCCATCTAATTAGATTTCTATATAGATTTTAGATGAGCCTATCTAAACCGTTTAGATGGGCATCTAAACGTATCTAGTCCATCTAATGCCTATCTAAAGGCCGGTGACCGGATCCAGACCGTTTAAACGCGAAACAGCTATGTCGAAGGTAACTTTAGTGTCATATCCTTGCTCCGCTCTATTACATACACAAATAAGATGTAAAAATACACAATGGCAGAACCAGGACCCCAAAAGCCAATCACATACAAATACAACCACCAGACTTTCGACGCGCCACAGTACGCAGCGAAGCTCTGCGAAGCCAAGCGCAGCATCAAAGCCGCAGCGTACTGGTCCATCTTCGATGTGTTGCTCGTAAAAGGCGTTGTGAACCTCGTCTGCACCGTTTGCAACAAGTCCTATAGCGCGAAGAACCCGTCAGCTGTCTGCCCGGATCACTATGCGAAGCACCAGAAGGACGTCGCCAGCGCGGTCGGAAGTGAGCAGTCCGGGGCGCCCACAACCTGACCCTCTTGGAGCTGGGAGGCTTGCCACCGGAGTGCAACGAGGCGATGCCGACCGTCACGGAGCGCCAGGAAACCAATGACCCCAAGAGCAAGGTGGTGGTGAAGAAGGTGGTGGCGATCCACGTTCGCCTCCGTGTGTGGAGCAAGCTCATCGCCCCCAAGTTCCCGGCGGTCGCCGTCGTCGCCAACCGGGTGCTGCGCATGCACGCCACCACCTGCGCGTCTGAGCGCAACTGGTCGCTCTGGGGCAACGTCTTCACCAAGGCCCGCAACCGCCTGTTCGATGAGGAGGTCACCATGCAGCTGCTGGCCGGGGACGAGGAGGACAACGTCCCGATCGCGCAGCTGGCCCAGAACAACGACGCCGCCTAAATAAGCTTTAGAGCCGGACGGGCCTGCTAATTAGGGCTGTTGTCGTCTAATGCCGTGATGTTTCTGTCGTTTGCGTAGTGCAGCCGGTGGGCAAGGACAACTGACTGCGTGACGGGTGTGTGGAGGTGAAACCCCGGTGAAACGCCAGTCGAACAGGCCGGCAGAACAGAGCCCGACAGCTTTGCATCCCAATGCGGGCGTGTCCCGCATGTTGGCATGTGTACTTTGGTGGTTCCGTTTGCGGTTGGGCCGACGGTTGGGCCACGGGGCGCCTAATTACACCCCGTGGCGCCATCCGACACGCGTCTGTAGAGCGCCCATAGGGGTTCGCCGTGTTCCCAGTGTCGAGCGGCCCAAAAAATTATTGGAAAATCCAGGAAAAGATAAAGCCGCATCGTGTGCAAAATTTCAGGTCAAAATTCCACCGTTTAGGCAGTTTTCCGTCTGGCCATCTAAAGATTTACCTAATTAGATTAGGTATCTAATTAGATTTCTAATTAGATACTTTTTCCATCTAAAGATTTTGCCAACCCTAAACATAACCCACCCACACCGTGCACCCACACCGTGCAGCACTGCGGTGGTGGCTGTCCCCTCTGCGGGTCCTGCGAGTGCCGGTGGAAGAGATCGCCATGACGCTGCTGCTGTCGCTGCGTTTCATGTCGCTTGTGTTTGAGGAGGTGAGGCGGCACGGGGTACGGCAGGCAGGGCCACCGGGGAACGGAGGTGCGGGAAGAGGTGGGGGGGGGGAAGGGGGGGGGGAGGGGGGGGGGAAGAGAAGGAACCGCGGCTGGAGGTGAGGGGGTTGGCGAGGAGGGTGTGTGTGGAGGAAGTGGGGGGGGGGGAAGGGTAGTAAAGTGTGGGTGGAGGGGCGTGTGTGTTGGCGTTCGCTTAGGAGGCGACGGATGATGGGTGGGGGGAATATTCTGTGGGGATGTGTTGTGGCTGTTTGGAAACTACACGAGACGGCGCTCTTGTAGTTGGTTGGGAGGAAGTCGGAGAAAGAGAATCACCGAATGGACCTGGCCGTCTGCAGGGCAGGGTGCAAAACCTAAATGCGGCAGTATGCGTGTGTGGGAGTATGCGTGTGTCAAGGGACATGTTATTTGGGACTTAAGTTGCGCAAAACTATATGAAGCGGAACGGATTCTCAATAGCAACAAAGTGCGATGGAAGTATATGGTTGCGCTTTTGTTCCACCGCCCCAGGGGAGGCGGGGAAATGTGTCTGGCTTGTGCTCGGCAAGCGAGCAGAGGCGCGCGTAGTTCCGGAAAGATGTCCAGTTAGCTGGTCTGTCGACTTGCGCGCCTTGATAACCTTCAGATTCGTCGCGTAACGTTGGTACTGTGGATTTGCAGGTCAGGAACCTCAGCCTGGGGTTGGCAGCTCGCGGCATTAACTGGGATGCTCAAGGCAGCAGTGGAAGCCTTAACATCGCGGGGCGATTATGCGTTCGCCTGTTTGGCAATCTATTCCAGCGCAGCGAAAATATTGCGCAGGCAATGGTTGTGCGCGGCTTCCAAGGCCCTCAACGGCACAATTTGTACATGATGAAGGTGAACCCTACCTCGGTCATCGCGAACGTGTGCGCAATCATGGTACTTCTCTGTTTCAGTGTAATTATTTACTTCTTCAAGTGATGAATTGATTGTGTGATTAAGCTGCCTTAATTTGATTCATATTTGTCATGCCAGCGTGTTGGATCTTCTAAGGAGTTGCTGCACCAAGGCTGTCAGGCCGCTTATGTATCGTAGGTACCCGATATGTGTATCACTTGTTTACCTTGAGCTCAACAGCTCGTGTTCAGCATACTGCGGGCAAGCTGTACGGTATCCTTGCTGACTATTTTGTGAGCGAGGATTTTGCATATTGTTTTTTTTACTTTGCATTTTTGCGTGTGAAATTTGTAAGCGGATCATTGATGGGTTGCGGAGCATCCCGGACCAACGGGCCGGTCGCCGTGCAAGCGGGCGCAACCGCCGCTGTAGTCGTTGAGGACAAGACGCAGTCATCTAAGCCCAACAAGGATTTTTTCGATGCCCCTGACCTGTCGGGCACGGCGTTGGTCAAAGCTTGGCCGGCTAAGGCTGATGGCACAGTCTGTATCCCTGAGATAGAGGACCCGGATTTCGGCATTCCGGCTTTAATTTCCGAGAAACTCCCTCTCGCTATTTGTATCAGCGGTGGCGGTTTCAGGGCTGCGACGCTCGGCCTTGGCTGGCTCCGCGGCCTCCATAACCTTGGCGTCCTGGAGAAGGCCCAGTACCTGGTCACTTGCTCCGGTAAGGAGCATACCTTATTTCAAAGTCTCTTAAACCCTAAATAAGTCTCCCAGGCCACCGTGACACTCAAGAGGCTCAACAGGCTCAAACCACCGGGCGGCCCAGGCCCGGTGGATTACGAGATGAAAACACGTAAAAATAGCAAGGGCAACCAACCAGGGTTGGTGCAGGTGGGGGGAACAAAAAAGACAACCTGAGGTAACAACACCGGGCGAATGGCCATAACAGGATTGTTGCCAGAACAAATAGCACACAACAGTACAGCAGAGATGGTACGACAAAGTCATAACTTACAATTGCATCGTCCCATAACCCGCCTCCGTACAAATGAGAAGCCAGCAGCGTATCCGCACAAGACATTTTTCAATTTTCCAAGTGGTGCAAAATCTTTCAAAAGTTATTATATAATGTGCATAGCACCGGGAATTTTTCAGCTGGCTCTCCCGCCTATCAGGTCCCGCAGCTCCGAAACCCTAAACCCGACATGCCGCAGTGAGACACCACTCTCCTCCCCCAACCAACCGGCCAATGCTGTCCAACTGAAGAACTGCTCCCCCGCCCCCCTCCACCCTCCATCTCCTCCGGGTTGCTTTCCCCGGCCCCCCGCTCTCCGCCCCACTCTCTCCCCCCTCGTTGGGCTCGTATAGGTTCCTCTTGGCTTGCTTCTGCGCTGTGTTTCCAACGGGTGACAAGTACGGACGCGTTTTTGGGGCCCTATCTGGCCCCCGACCAGTGCGACCTGGAGAAGCTAGAAAATGTGGGTGCGGAAAAAAAAACGGCCGCGGAAAGGCGGCGAGGTCGGGCTGATGAGAAGAGGGGGATCCCCTGGGGTCTGTCCAGGGAGGGTCCTCGCTCGCGGTTGTATCTGGAAAGGGCTATCGTGGCTCCTCACTTTCAACTCACGTCACTTTGATGTATCCATAATCCATAATCCGGCACATAGCCTCAACTTCACGTCTTCGTGCACCTACATACCATGTCCATCGACCCCCATCGGATGTGAGGTTTTTGACTTTCGCCAACTCCGTACAACCCGCATACCTGGCCTTCATTGCCGCCTGTGGCCCTAACGCTGGACCATACGGCCACATGACCATGACCACGACCGGCTTGTACGACTGTATGGTCCGTGCGTGGTACGACATTTGCAGGTGGGTCCGAAGGGCCGTACCGCCGCCTCCGTTATGGCGGATGCGGAGCCCATGTACGATTACTTCAAGGAGGTGGCCGGGGGGTTATTTGCCAGGGAGGAGGACGCAACCAAGCGGGTGAGGGAGGGGG